CTATCCAAATGCACCGTTGATCTTGTGCACCGAAGACAGATTCCTTGTATATATTTTATACTTGGTCTTTAAAGTATTTTGAATTGTATTTGTATTGTATTGTATTGTATTGTAAATTAATATTAAGGTGATTAGGACCTTAATCCTAGCACCACAATCTGTATTGTGCAGACGATTATGAAATCTTCCTTTAGGACAAGTTCATAATTTTCCACACAATCCAGATTGAATGGCATACCTGGTGGCTATAAAAAACTTGGTCGTCATGTTCTTTCTGAAATGGAAATTTAGTGGGCATTTAGTAAGGCAGCCCTGGAGCCAGCAAGAGCCAGTTTTCAGACCAATCATGTATGCACAAGTTAGGCTAATTTCTAGATGCTTGGTTGCTGAAGCTTCTAACTGCTGCTGTGACTATCAGTTCTAAATATATTCCTCCATGACCTGCACTTAGTCTTCTGAGCAAGAACTTAGAACTAAATATGGGTAATTGATCTACTATTACCTTTATTGTAAGCTTTTGCAAGATGAGCTTTAAAATTGTTGCATAAATAGCATTATGTTGATACTGAAGTCATAGCTTGTCAGTCTTTGAAGAAGGCACAGGGTTGAATTTGTGAATTTGGGAAGGAGGGACTTGCCTTGCACTGGAAGAAAGAGATGTCTTTCAGAAGGTCTGTCAAAATTTAGAATGGCACTTTCTTTTGCTCACAAGCTGTGTTAAATAAGCCTGTGGCAAATTGTTTATGGAGAAGTGAACTTCTTTGCTGTTATAAATATCACATCCTGTTTGCTGGGATGAGGATCTTATTGAAAGACTATATAAAGCATGTCATACTTTCCTCCCTCGTGTTGATTTCAGAAAACTAAATGAAATCTGATCTTGCATCTATCTTTCCTCCAGAACTGTAGCCATTGTCCCAGATCAGAGGCCGTAGAGCAACTATGTGGATTCTAAGACTTACAGCAATTGTTAACAGATAAAAATGTTTAATGTAAACGAAAGGTGAAATTATTAAATACAAGCCTGGAGAAGACTAAAATTTAACTAGTTTTTGTCCTAGCCTTATTTCTTGGATTATGGCTCCTAGACCTTAGTCATCCAAAGGCTCTTTGGCCAGAAGAAGTTGTACACTCTTGTTTTAAATACTTTCTGTTGATGTAGTATGTAAATGGAGCTTGTATCCTGGTTAAGATAAAGAACTTGTATCCTGGTTAAGATAGGCTGATCACAGCAGTGCGCATTGGAGCATTAAACTAAAAAACAATCACCTTGTGCTTTTAAAAAAATATATTATGAACTCCATATGAAATGGAATGTTTTCTCCATCTCCTACTCACTTCCTCCCAAGAAACTGTTGGATAAAATGGTAGCAAATGGCTGCCTTGTAGGATGCCTGAAACTTTCAGAATTGTTGCTCTAAAACCTGTACACTGTTAAACTGGATTTCTTTAGAGGTTTTGGATTTAGCTCCCGCAATTCGAAATTGTTGACCGTCATGCTGATTGGACATGATGGATACTGGACTGCTCGTGCAGGGCCCATCTTGGTGGGAAGCCTCCTGTAAAGAGAAGTCCAAAGAGCAACTAGATCAGTGCAGGCTAAAAAGTTGGTTGTGCATCTGTAGTCTTTGTAGAACATGAGGCTGTTGGGTAGTAACAGGTGCACCAGGAAAAGCCCCAGTGTAGGTAGCATGAAAGGGAGGTGGTCTGGAAATCAAGGGAAACTGAGTGGATTCCTGAGCTAGTAATTTGGGTATGTATGGAACTCTTTGCTTCATCAGTATGTATGATGCCCTCCAGAAGTTTTAACAACAACTTCATTTGTAATCCTTGTCCCATGGCCCATGTTGATAGGCAATTGATGGAGGTCGTAATCCGGCATTAAAATTATAGCATTTTTAGAGTGTCCTTTGCCCCAAGAATGTTCCTAGTTGACATAAGGAAAAAAATGTAATGGATATAAGAAAAATGAAGGATATCAAGGGGCAAATGTAAGCAAACATAGTTCTAAAATTTTAAACATGGTTAATTGATAGGCCTCATAAAAATATTTAAGGATGGTGAAGTGGTGGTACCCCAAATATTCCAGAAACCAAAGGCAAGTGAGAAAAGCCTGGGTATGTGTGCAGTGGAATCTCCTTGAAGTTGTTCCTTTTGGCCAATCAAATCTGGGGGGGAAGATCCTGTTCATCTTAAGATGCTCGTTGAATTGAGATCACTTCTAGCCTTTTGCTTAAGTCAGGTCAGAAGGGGATGGTGTAATGCTCCTGTCATTATGAGCTTTTCCCCTCACTGTGAAATAATTCATCATTGCAATTGTGACTGATGGCCAGGAAAAAAATGTGAAGTGTTCCACAATCTTAAAGAGTGATTGAACCTTCATTAGCAAAACCCTGCTGGCCTTTATTGGATAGAGCTCCAGCATGTCTAGGGTATATTGCTTTATGAAATAAGACTTGTGGAAAAGCAACCTAAGTGGAACATTCTGAAAAGAAACTTAGTTGCCGCCTTTGAATTGAGGCTAATCCCTTAGTGGTAGAGATTGATTAGACAAGATAAACCGGCATTTAATCTGCAGGCTGCTCACCTTTGCAGAGCGGTTTGCAAGGTTAGTCTGATCATGCACATTACTTTGAAACAATAGCATTTGCTTATTTGTGGGGAAGGAAAGCAGTGTATCCTGACCTTCTCTGAATTAATGCCATTTTCTTTTCTTTTCTTTTCTTTTCTTTTCTTTTCCTAGCCGGATAATGAAATCTCATCTGACTGCAACCACGTAAGTGTGCTTTTTGAAAAAAAAAAGATTTGGCACATTCTGTTGAAAGAGCACTGAGCACGTTTGCTTTGGCCAAAGAGGGAGTTCATGGGATCCTGGACTAAGTCATCCAAATGGAAAAGGCTCACATTGTTTTACTTTTCTGTGGCTGCCTATGTAGGCAGTCAGAATTCTGTTTTTTCAGAAAATGCTTGCTTGAAAGGCATTTTCCTTGAAAGGCAAAACTCTCTCATGTACACACAGTTCTAATAGGAAATCTGTTTTTCAGAAGCAATCAATTGCTTTCCTTTAAGCTTCTAAGAAGAATCCAACCAAATAACTTTCCCTAAGTTTAGCACTTACTCAGATTGTGCTCTAAAACCATTTCTGTTCAATTACCTCATTGTTCACTCATTTCTCCTTTTGCTGTCCTAGTCTCTTGCTCCTCTTTGCAACCAGTTCACCTCTGGTCTCTGCTGCTCTGTGCTAGATGCTTCTTGGAAGAGGCTCATTTAAAAAAACAACAGCTTTCTCACAGGGGGCATATATAGACTGCAAAGTGCAATTCTAGCAGTGTTTCAATTGCATGCCATCTTAATTATTCCCCTGGTGGTTTC